ATTTTTTTATGGATTTTTTTATGGATTTTTCCCTAAGGGGAAAAAAAAACATTACTATCTAGTCTTCTATAGTAGTTCTGTTGGGGGGTGGGGTGTTTCGGTCCTCTCTGAGATGGTGACAACTTGCTTTCTGGATTCTCAACCAGCTAGAATGCTCCCTTTTTAAGTTTGGTTAGATCAGAAGCTGTTGGAGTCTGCTGAAACCCATTTCCGACTGGTGATATGTAGGGTTGAAATCTAGTTGAGCAGCGTAAGTGTGGAATGAAGACCATCTCACCATTGTCCCCTTGTTACCAAAACCCCATGTTTATTGACATGTAGTTCTTGAATGTGGGAATTCCATTTAGGTGTCATTCTTTTGTTGGAACTCTGTAATTCATTGAGCTACCTCCTGTATGTGTTGGATTCCAATCACTGCCATCCCTAGGTAGCTGTCAAGGATGATGGAAAATGTAGTCCCGCCCTTATGGAATGTGCCAAGTTGACGCAAATGAATACAAGCCGTTGTTTAGCAGGCACTGTGATTTGTACTGATGCTTTCAGAGCCTAAGAAGCAAAACAGTTAATTTGCTGAGACAAACCTTTATCTTGTTTGGGGGGAAAACTGGCAGCTGATATATTTCTTCAGTTGTTTAAAAAAGATGGTGTGATTGGGGAAAAAATTCCCCCTATTTGCAACTAAAGTATATACAAATCAAGCTGTCTGGATGCTATGCCTTGGAGTGCTGTGGGAATTTGTAAACAAACCCTCTGACAACTAATTTTATGGAATCTCAAACAGCTAAGGAAGTAATGAAATAGCAGACGAAAATAAATGATTCTTTTAAAATCGCCATTAGGTAACTTACTATTTAAACCTACAATTATTTACTCAGAACTAAGCCTCACTGGTTCCAGTGGGATTACACCTAGAGAAGGTGTGCAGGATTGGGATTTCTTTCATATTTATTTATTTTAATGGGAGGTAGAAAAACAGAATCACCTAGAGCATAACTCTGGATGTTAATAAAGCAGTAGCTCCATTGCACTCAATTGCAAGGTTTTGGATTTATAGCAGCATAACTGGGAGCAGAATTTGATTTCATTTGTTTATTCATAAGGCACAGATCTTACTAGACAAAAAGCAATGAATTTCCACCTAGTCATTTTATGTTTCAAATGCTAACAGGATAAGTTTGCACAGAGAGCACAATATATCTGAAACAAGTGCACCCATTTATTTGTTTGTTTCATTTACATCCTGCCTTTCCTCCAGCAGCTTAAGGCAACATGCATTGTATTCCTTTTCTCCTAGTTTTTCCCATGATATCAATTCTGTGGGTTCAGCCGGCCAAGAGGGAGTGACTGCTCAAAGTCACCCAGTGAGTGTCCATGGCTGAAAGTGGATTCAAATCTGCTTTCTTCCAGACTAGGTACAACACATCAATCACTACCCCACCCTGGCTCTCAGTATCCCTTCCTACACATCAAAGGGCTTGTTAGTGCAGAATTCTAGTAATCTGAATCAATGCAATGGTTATGAATAATGAAATATTTCAGTGGGATGTAAAGCCAGGATTTTTATAGTTTGCTGATAGAGTTTAATGAGTCCACTGTTTTTCATTTTTTTCAGCCTGCTTCTACTTAAGAAATCAGGCTAAAGACATAAATAGTCTATTTTGAATTAATTTTACCCATGATTACCTAAAAAGCAATCCTCTGGGTCAATAATAAAAGAATTGCAGAAGTTGTGTGTGATAATTTGTGGACCTATGTCTTGTACTGTATTCATTCTGCCTTCTACGCCAAATGTGCAATAATGCAATCTGATGAATGCCTCTTCAGTTATTGAACTCAATGGGTCTTGCTTTCAGGTAAGCCTTACAGGATTACAGCCTTAAGCTACAATTTCATGTAAGATGAGGTGTGTGTTATGGACAGAATGCTCCAGCTGGGGACACCTGGCTTCAGATTTCCTTTGACCCTTAATGTGCACTGATCCATTGGATGAGTCACTGCCTCAAAAGAATGGAATGGATTGCTTTGAAGTTGCTTGCTTGAACAGCAAAATCTAAATGGAATAAATAGAGCTAGAGCCAGTTATTCCAGTTTTGAGGAGGTTGCTTCTAGGAGAGGGTAGTGAGGTTCCATCATAATAGCAGGGGGTTGCCTCCATGCTGTGGTGAGAAGAGGAATTACTTTTTATAGGTAAGTTTTAGAGTTATTCCCATGAAAAGGTTGGTGTGTTTGGCAACCATTTCCATGTAATGTGGCTAATGGAATGTTGGCTTGTTGCATGTTCCTCCCTGGACTTTATCTTTTCTCCTGAAGTGTTTTTCTCTTATCTCTATTGTGACAAAACCTCATACATTATCTTGCTGATAGCACTAGCCGCTGTTCTTTGTAAAACCTGAAGGCTGGGACCTATGGAAGTTCCTCTGATTGGCTCTAAGCTCTTTCAATTGCTGCCATTAAATCAGTCTCCCTAAGCCTTACGGATAGTACTAGTCTGCTTTAAGGCAAAGAATATAATTTTTTATGAGAATTATTCACAAGGGGGAATAATAGGCTACTTATCAAATAGCAAGCTGGAATAACTTAAATATAGTTTAATTTATTTCTAAATGTGTACGCCACCCACTCCGGTAATTCTGGGGAGCTTAAAAGAATACGTACATAACACACAAAATGACAACATGATTTAAAATTATAAAATTCTAAACAACGTGATAACTAAATGCTAAAACGTTTAAACCTCTAGGTAGACTGGGGTAAAGAGGTAAGTTTTAAGCCCCCACCTGAGCTGTAGTAAGGAGGGAGCCGGCTTCAACTCTTAACTGCAATTTATTCTACAATATAGGCCTCAATACAGAAAAGGCAGAATTAGCTCTATAAATATATTCAAGGAAGGACTTGCAGAAGGTGGCCCATTGAGGACCTAAGAGTGCAGGGAGTAGACAGTACAGGAGTCAGCAGCCCTTCAGGTAGACATTATGTGCTGTGTTACCATTCTGGTACTCCATCCCACAAAAGTGGTCCACCAATCTCCTTGGCTTTCAGCCCGTTGGATTTCTTGGACCTCCACAGCGATTCCTTTTTTCTCTAGTCAGCTTTCTTCCTGAAAACTGTGGGTGCTGGATTTTGCTGTCTACTCACAGCACAGATTCCTGCCTGCTCTTTTTCCATTAGGATTACTCCAAACTGGAAGACTTTTTCCTGTCTCAGCTATTATAGCTCAGTTGTCTCAACCTTCTTCTCAACTCTGATTTCTGCATCTGTTAGCTCTTGGAAAACTCTTTGCTATCTAACATTCCTCCTGTCATTTTGCAGTGGATAATCTTGGTCAACCTAATTTTTTATTTGAAAAAAGTCTTGATGAGCTTTATAATCCTTCTAAACAACCAATCAAACTGCTGGCTGATAGACCTACAGGAATTAATACCCTACCATATCCTTATTGTTTTCAAGGGTCATCTTGAAGCTTCCCTTTTTTAGTACCTGCAACCAATGTTGTTGCAAAGTTTCATACCCATGTTGAAGTAGTCAAACCAGGTCATTGGCCTCTTCAGTGCTAATGGAGGTTGTTCTCAAAACACAAATGTACCAAATGAGCCTTATTTCCAGAGTCAGAACATTAGAGACCATGAAGGGCATAAGAAAACCCTTGATGGTCCATACCAAAGGACATTCTTGTTCAGCCTTTGTTTTTACCATGGCCAATTAACTGCCTATGGAAAGCCCGAGAGCAGGATCTGACAGCAATTTCGGCGTTCCCTAGCAACTGGTTATCAAGAGGCCTTTCGTCTCTGATACTGGAAGTAACGTATAGCCATTTTGAGAAGCAGCTATTGAAAGTTTTTTTTTTCCCAGAAATATATAAAGCTGCTTTGCACAGAGCCAGGCCATGATTTACACTGAATGGCCCAGTTTTCTAAGATTTTACACCAGTTAAATCTGGGACTTATATGTAGAACCCACCCAGCCACCCACCCCCTTTACCTTGAGCTATACCTAGGAGGGGAGGGGGGGAACCCAAATCAGGTAATTTGGGAGCTGCAGAGCAGATTAAGTTCAAAAATGTTCATAGAACTGAAAAGGTTGGAAATTACTGTCTT